ACTTACCTGGCTGCTTCTTGCTCTGACTGAGGGCTGCTGGGAGCAGAGGGTGGGGCTTGTTGCATGTGCCCGCCCCCTTGGCTCTTTACTGCCGGAGCTCTGCTCCTGTGCGCTCCTGCAGGAAATGACCCCTGCTTTTATCGATTGACACTCCGCGTTTCCAACCACTGTCGTACTGAGCAAAATTGCACCAGTCTGCAGAACTGATCAAGGGCTTTGGACCATGGAAGTCAGGGTGGTTTCTCATTTCCCAAGAACATTGCTGTGTCTGCACACACCTTAAATTAGTTTGCCTAGAAGAAAACGGGCAAAGACAGCACTTGGATCAGAGTCTGCAGAGGTAAATCTGCTGTGCTGTGTATAAAAAATTTCCCTAGGTAGATAAATCATTTCCAGGTTGCAAATGCCAACATTTTTGGTTGGCTTAATCTGCATATGTTAATGCGAGTTATAGTGTGTCAATGCAAATGCAGCTAGATGCTTTGCTTTATAAGACCTGTCTCTTAAACGTTCAATGTTCATGGGTTTCTTACTTGTACTGATGGCTTAAACAATAATGCAGCCGTAACATTTATCTGCAATTAAAGCTAATTAAATGTGTCTTAATTTAACCTTATGAAGACACTTAGCATAAGTAAACAGTGTTTTTATTATGTCTCTTGTGTTTTCTGTTGTTAGTTCCCCCCATCACTTGTCATTCCTTGAATGTTAACTATTTAATGTTTTGCCTGCTTGTATTCAGTTCAGAGTCTCATAGAAATTCAGAGGAATGCTTCTTGGATATGCTGAAGTGTTTATAGGAAAGAGGAGGCATGGTGAAGGATTTGCAATAGACTGTTCTTACAGGGCATAAGACCGAGAGATAGTGTGAGAGCCAAGCTCCCCGGAATCATAGAACCATATCCAAGTGATTGGCGGTTGTCGAAGTTTGATACACAAGCCTTGGTGAGATTGAGCGCTGGGGTCTGTGTGTCAGACTACCAAACAGTTAGTTTAGACAGCGGATGCTTTCTAAGGGACAGTCTCTTGAGTGAAGGAATTTAATTTTCCTGAAGAGTGATCCCTACTTGACTAAGGATTGGCTTCGTGTAGAGCTATGGTGCTGCCCCATTTGGAAAACTGCGGGAAGTTCTGGCTGCTGTGTCTCAAAAAGGATATTGCAGAGCTGGAAAAATGAGGAAAGGTTGAAGAATCTTGGACTTTTCTGTTTAGGAAAAAAGGTGACAAGGATGGGAAGTATGAGACAGGTTTACAATGTTATGAATGGGGTGGAGAAAGTAGCTTTATATATATATGTAAATATATAAAGCTTTGTTGCAAAAGAACAATTCTTTACAACTTAAAATCAAGAGAATATAACAAAGAATCAAACACTATAACATTATAACTTTAAAACACAAACAGTGGTCACATACTGACCAGAAATGAGAAAAAAAAGTTAAACAAGTGCAGTATACATTAATGTGTAGATATGCAGATATGCAGACGATACCACTCTAATGGGAGAAAGTGAAGAGGACCTAATGAGCTTCTTGCTCAGAGTGAAAGAGGAGAGCGCAAAAGTGGGCTTGAAGCTCAACATAAAAAAACCCCCTAAGATCATGGCATCTGGCCCCATTACTCCTTGGCAAATAGAAGGGGAAATCATGGAAGCAGTGACAGAATTCACGATCACTGCTGACGGTGACTGCAGCCATGAAATTAAAAGATGCCTGCTCCTTGGGAGGAAAGCGATGGCAAACCTAGACAGCATGATAAAAAGTAGAGACATCACCCTACCAACAAAAGTCCGTATGGTCAAAGCGATGGTATTCCCAGCAGTACTGTATGGCTACGAGAGTTGGACTATAAGGAAGGCCGAGCGCCGAAGAATAGATTCTTTTGAATTATGGTGCTGGAGAAGACTCTTGAGAGTCCCCTGGACTGCAAGGAGATCGAATCAGTCAATCCTAAATGAAATCAATCCTGACTGTTCCCTGGAAGGCCAAATACTAAAGCTGAAGCTCAAATACTTTGGCCACCAAATGAGAAGGGAGCACTCACTGGAGAAGACCCTGATGCTGGGAAAGATTGAAGATCAAAGAAGAAGGAGACGGCAAAGGATGAGATGGTCAGACAGTGTCATCGATGCAACGAACATGAAATTGAGCAAACTCCGGAGCACGGCGGAAGACAGGAGGGCCTGGCGTGATGTGGTCCATAGGGTCGTGAAGGGTCAGACTCGTCTGTGCGACTGAACAACAATGACAACATAGAGATACTTGATAAAGTTGATGGGCAGAAGGTTCAGGATAATAATAATAATAATAATAATAATAATAATAATAATAATAATAATAATACTTTCCATTTATTAATCGCTTTCCCCAGTGGGCTCAAAGCGATGTACAGTTACTCAAATACAGACAAAGGACTAACAATGTTTGTAGGGGATAGGGAAGACAACATATATATTCATTTTAACTGCACACGCCGATACTGCCCGGTGTAGAACTTCTTGGCTGGCTTCGTCGTTTTCCGGCACGGCTGCTTGCTGCTCATCAGCCAAGGCTACAGGTGGTTCACATTTGGAGGCTTTTTGCTTAGTCTATAATGAACAGTAGTGTGAGAATAGAAGAATTGTTTAATCAGCTATAACCGTTGCTTTCTCAAGGTTTGAGAGCGAGATGAGCCCTCAAGGCGGGCGCGGGAACCATATCTATTGGCCCATGTTATTTTGAACTTGCTTTATTATACCTGTCTCACGCCCTTTGTGTTATTCTGAACAGAACATCTGTTCTCAGTACTTCATGGCTTCAGTGAAATAAAACCTTCCTGCAAGAGTGTATTTCATTGTTTGCTGTGAGTCTGACACACAGCTCTGTCCATTGCCCTGGCATACACTCTTCGCAGTCCAACAAGGCAGTTATATTGAGGAAGTCTTTACTAATGCCACCTGAAGTGGCTGCATGGCAACAGCTTGATTCGGTTCTTTGTATGTAGCAGCCCTGTGAAACAGCGGAAGCGTCATCGAATGCAGAGTATTTTGCTTGCCGCTTGTGCATTTCTGGAATAAATTGAACATATTTAGAAGCTGTTGCAAGATTGTGATGTCATAATAAGAAATGCAATAATACACTTTTTATGTAAAATTTGAATTTTATTGTATATTAATTGAGGCGAACGACTTACACACAGTATTCATCTTGTGGTGTTGACTTCCACACTAGCAAAAACATGGGTTTGATCTAAACTAAATTTTCCAATGGCAGAATGGAACTTTCCTGCCTCCCTCCCTGCAGCCCACTGATCTCCACAAAATGCAGCTACGGGATGGGGGACCATGAGAACTGTCACAAGTGAGGTCTGCGGCAGGAAGGGCAAATCAGTGGGAACAGAGAGTTTAGTTTGGATCCAACCCCATGATTAGCACTCACCTCCAGACAGTAAGTTGCAAACCCATTTCAAGATATTGAAGTGTGGTTTGAAAGCAAGGTATCACAGTCAGGGCAAAGCCTGGCGCTGTTGCTCTACCCGGGGTTTCTGGGATACACAAATACAATGACAAGTACAGAAATACACAGGAGCAAGGTCTACAAACCAGTCTAGAACTGGATATCCGAAGACTGAGTCCAAGGTTCAGGGTGGGAGGGTTAAGGTCCAGAGGTCCAGTTCCAAGGCTTGAGAACAACTGCAGGATACAGGGGTCTGGGTCCCAGGCTTCAGGAGCAAGCACAGATTACCAGAGACAAGGTACAAAGCAGCAGGGTCAGGGTAGAGCTCTGTATGCTAAACAGGTCAGCGCACAAAGGGTTGGCAAGCAAGGTTTCTTCCACAGCAACCAAGGAAAAACCTCCAAAGGAAGTTTAGAAAATTAGTTAAGGGTCAAAAGTTAAAAACACCAGTAGTTATAGACAAAAGAACTCGTGTTTATTTCAGAAACATATAAAAACTTTGCAAAGGCCCAAATAACCCTTGCTCAGCATGTTCCTTTTATTCGCACCTTTTGCTGGCTCATCCCCTAAGGGCCAGGTGTCACTCCTTACAGTTGCATTCACCATCCTACATCCAGGTGCGGCTCTTTTACTTTTTCCCTATCAGCCTGTCAGTCCTGGTCCTGCAAGGGCTCTACTCCAGAAACTAACACTGACCATTGCTGAGCAGCCAAGCGGGCACTCCTACGTGTCTCCTGAGCCACCAAGCACTCACTTCTTCTACACTCTGCTGGCTCAGGAGAGGCTGGCAGGGGAGCTGGCCTCTGTGGCTTCTCTTTCTTCTCCTGGAAGACTGAGCAACCCAGCCATGACGGGCAAGTGTCCTCGCTTCCTGATGCTTCCCCCATTGGGTCTGCTGCCGGATCTGTCTGCTCAGGTGGGGATTCCGTCGGTGTAGGGCCCGATTCTTCAGATCCCAAGGAGGAGGAGGAGGTGGCAGCTGGCTGGCCTATGACAGAAGGCATTACCCATACTTTAAATATTTAGACACTGTGACAAGTTATTGTTCATGAAAACTAGGAAGTGTTGGAAGGATCCTTCCAGTGGGAAGGGGAAGGGAGTGAAGATGGGGAGAAGGGAATAGCAAGTCTGTGAGGGTGCTTCCCATCCTTAAATCATGGTTCTGCAGTACCCCTGAATTGAGGTCTGTCATACTGAAAGTTTTGGAGGTACCATAGGCTGGATTCTGTGACTCCCAGCAGGTTTTTCTCCAAGACAGAAAGACTTCCTTCAACAGAGGGACTTTTCTTTATCAGAGGAAGCGATCTTCCATTAGAAGACATTCTACATGTATCTGAAGAAGCAAGCATACATGTGAAAGCTTCTACCCAGAATAAAACGTTGCTGTTCTTGAAGGTGCCACTGGACTCAACCTTTGTTATTCTCCACTGGAGGAAGTCATTCTCTGTTGAGAGTCATAGAATGCAACTCAATGTCGTTACTTTCGTAGAGATCTTCAAAGGTTTATGCTGTTGGTAAATTGTTGATACCCACCTATAAAATACTCACATGGCATTCTTGTTGAAGGTACTGATGAATCTCCGCAGTCCAAATTATGAAACCAGCGAACCACCTAGTTTCAGAAACCACTTGGGGTTGATTCAGGTTCCACTGAAAGTGAAGGACATTCCTGAACTGGTAAGTGTCTTTATTTGTAAAGTTGATTTCTTCTCTAAAATATATAGGAAAGAAGGAAGCTGTTCATTATTAAGATAGTGAAATAGCTGTGTTTTACATTTTTGGAAATATTGAATAGTGTCGAGACATATGTATTAGCCTCCTTTGAGGGCTATTCTTCAGTCTTTCAGTCAGCATCTGTAAAGAAAACATTCAGCTCGAAGGTAGATCTTAATGATTTCTGGTTGCTAGACTATGTACAAAATTCTGTTTCTTCATTTTATTTCTAGTTGAGGTGGTGAGCTTATAATACTCTGGAGTGGGAGTGGACAGTTCTTTTACTGCTCCATGTTCAGTCTCCAGTTAAATGGTCACAGATGGTAGGCCTGGGGAAGACCTCTGGCAGACATCCTGGAGATTAATCAAAGCCCTGGGCCAGGTGGATATTGGTCCTTCAGTATAAAATAACTTCCTATTTGGATATAGTTTGGAGCAGTTGGAAGCTCATTTGGGATGTAGATAGGAAGTCTCCATACTTGTTAAGAAAATATTTGCTGTTTTATTCTATGCCTGTGCTTTCTTTCTGTCTTAAGAAAGAATATTTCAGTGAACTAGACTTAAATACAGGTCAGTTGGATATTGATGACTCTGCACAAGTCCCTCCAGGTAAGCGTGGCTTGTTTTACAGTAAGGAATTCGTCTGATATAGTATGGTTAAGATTATTCTCTCAGAATTTTTTTTTTTTTTTTGCCCCCCAAAGGGGAATTTTTTTATTTTTGTATTTTCTACACACTACATATATGGAATGGGGAAAGGAATACTAATGCCCTATCACTATTTCTATGGGAAATGGGTAAGGGAATTCTAGATACATATAATCTACTGGATAGGGAGAGGAAAAACTACGATTCTATTCTAAATCTCCTACTGGATATGGGGAAGGGATAAAGACTAATACAAATCACGATCTGAAAAGTTTAAAAATAGATCTTTTTAACCTATTAGTACTGGTTATACAGAGATTAGTTTGATTATAAAAAGTATAAAGTTATTAGCTTAGCACAGTTACTGCCCTTAGCACTCATGCTTTAGTTTTAGAGTCTTTTCTTCTTAGATTTCTTCGTTTTCTGCAGTTTGGGAGCGGCTGCTCCTTTCTCGGATTCAGATGATTCTGATGACGAGGAAATTTGGCTTGTTGAGTCCTGTGAGTAGGACTCCTCCTCTTTTTCTTCTTCCTCCTCCACATCCGTTTTTAAATTCTTTTCCTTCTGCTTCTTTTTTACATTAAACATTTGATCCATAAATCTTTCCGCTTTAAGATTATTCTCTCAGAAATTCATGGGGAAACGTTTTTCTGCCATCGAGCCAAAGCTGACTGATGGCTTACCTTGTAGGGTTTTCAAGGCAAGAGACGCTCGGAGATGGTTGGCCATTGCCTGTCTCCGCATCACGATCCTGGCATTCCTTGGTGGGTCTCCCATCCAAATACTAGCCAGGCCCTGCTTAGCTGCCGAGATCGGATTAGGCTGGGCTAGCCTGGGCCGTCCAGGTCGGGGCTCGTGAAAGGGACGGTTGCCAAAACCAGATCTGAAGAGGGCTCTTGTATCTTCCTTTGCTGCAAAAGACTAAGCCAGAAGCCCCTTTTTGATCAAAAATGGCAAAACATGTTAACATTTCTTAATATTACATTGTAGTCTTTGACTGTAAAATATACCAGTATCTTAGGGAAATGTATATTAAACCTATAATCGATAGCCTGCCAGGCAAAAGTAGAAGGGACTGCCTCGCAGTAATGTTAGACAATAGGAATAGGGAAATTACCCTTAAGGTGGTGAAATACGGATGGATGGCCATTAACAGGAGGAAAATCTGGCTAGATGTGATTAATAATAGATCAATGGTATCCACTAATAATTTGTATGGGGTATTTTATGTACGTATAATTGAATAGTATTGTTAGTTTTAATGGATATTTAGATTTTAATGGTTACCTGTAGTTTTTTATGTTATGCTGTACTCTTTTTTAAATGTTTGCTATGGCTGGAAGCTAACACAATAAACATCTTGTATCTACAAGTGAGAAACCTGATTGAACAATATTCATTTATCTAATATGCCTTTATTTATTTATTTAAAACATTTCCATGCAGTCTTTCCACCCAGCTTGGGGTTCCCAAGGTGGCAAACAGTAAACTTTTCAGGCATCTCAAACATTAAGACAGTTTTTAGAATAAAGATATATATATAGAATATTGAAAACAATAAAGTATATAAACATACAAACAGGGAGGTTGGCTGATAAGAGTTAGTGATGGAATGCCAGACAAACCCAAAAGCCTTTCGATGACAGACAGACAGACAGACAGACAGACAGACAGAGGGCCATATGAATCTCCCAGGGGAGAGAGTTTCAGTGCTGTGACCAAGAAGACCCTTTCTCGGGTTGCTGCCCATATAGCCTCAGATGGCAGGGACGCTTGAAGACGCAGAACTGTATGTTTCTGTGAACCCTTCGGAGCCTGGTGTTCACTGATCAGGCAGATCATGAGAGGGAGGGCAGAAAGAGACGAATCAGTGCTTAGCTTCTGTGGCCCATTCTTACATGCACAAGGTAATGCTGATGGGCAGTTTGTGATCAGGAAGGAATTTTCCTCCCAGCCAGATTGACCCAGGGATACTGGAGGTTATTTGCCTTTCTCTGGGCATACAACAGGGGGTCGCTGGGGAAGGTAGTTGTGAATTTCCTGCATTGTGCAGGGGGCTGGACTTGAAAACTTTTTGGGGTGTGTGTGTGTCACACGGTTGAGTGCTCTTAGTTGCAAAGGAAATTTCCTGTGTCTTTAAGAACCTAGGTGTTGAGAACAAGAGGTGTGACATAGCCTTCTTTCAGACAAGCTAGCTTCCTGTGCACACTTCCCATCAGAAGATGTTCATCCTAGATGTACATTAACTGCCTCAGTCAGAAGCAGGAGCTATGCTTCACACAACACATGTGTGTGTACATGACAGGCCATCCAGTATTTTTAATAGAACTTGGTATATCACACGATACACTTGTAGATTCTCAGTTACGTATTATCTTCTGTATTGAATTCTGTACAGCTTGTGTTTTCACCTTGTATTTTGTACAGTGCTTGATTTTGTTCTGTAAGAATGAAATATCATCTATTAATAAACACCCTGATAAAATACCATAAATTTAAAAGTTCCTGAAAAGTTGCTTTTTTGAATCTATAAGGGTAAGAAGTAATAAAAATACTGTTATATTATAGAGATGAATGATTTTATTGCGGCATTGAAATCTCGTTCTCCAGTATTGTGTGTGGGTGGGTGGGTGTGTTTTAAACATCACCTTGGTCTGTTTCAGTCTACTGATGCACTGCTGATCAGTAAACCAGTTAGAGTATTGTTTGCAGTTGGGGCTCTTGACAGTCGATACATTTGCAGTTTGGAAGTGAGGTGCCCATCTAGTGATGGAAATAAGCATACAGACATAAGAATTATTGCAGCATAAACTTAATAATGTTGCTGTTGTCCTGTTAACTTTATCTTGGTCTTTTTACAATGAATGCAAATCATCATAAAACCATGGAAGGGCAACTTTACTTGAAAGTCCGCTAGAGCTATCCAGTTTTCATTGAAGGTTCACCAGAGTCTTGAAAATTAAGGCAAATTATGCATCCCGTGTTACTTGAGAGAAAAAAGAAAAACTTTTAAAGTGGGGGTAGCTTTGAGGAAACGGAAGAGGTTATGGGGAAGAAGAGAGAAGTAGTCAAGTTTGCTTTTCAGAAATGGGCACTCACAACCTCTCACTGTGAATTGCAGTTCAGACTGCGGGGTAGGGGTTCAAAAAGCAATTTGGAGGGACATACAGGTTCTATTTTTCTGAGATGGAAACTCCAAGAAACATTTAAGTGCACTTTGGAAGAATATGTTCTGTTCCATGTATGGTGCCGTGTTTTCAAATAAAAAGGAATGAATAAATAGAGCTTGACAAGCCAAAGTTCAACCTTGCTGTTATTACTAATTATACATAAAGAAGTAATTCAGGTTAGCGGAATTGAATATTTCCATGTTAAAGAATCAAAAGTTTTTAATTTGTACCTTATTTTTGCTTGCTCTTACAGAACTCTTTGAAAATGAACATGGACGTATTGGCCAAAAAGGTAAGACTCGGATAAGGGCTGTAACAAGTTGCGAGTATTGAAGAATCTCTGTTGGTTTCCTTTATTTTGTTCAGACTTGCCAGCAGTTTCCCAATAAAGAACCGCACAGTTGGTTTATTAAAAGCAAAATGGGAAGCACGCATGCGCAGAGGCATACATGCGGCTTTATGCCAAAGAGTTGGATTCCTGTTCTGAATGTCATTGAAAAATCACCAAAGTGTCTTCTCCCTTCCGTGCACAGTGAATGCTCATTAGTCTTAATGGGGCTTATGCCTGTGCATCAGAAGATAATATAACCTTAATTCTGATAGATGGTTAATTGTTGCTGCTGAACTGAATGAATGCTGCAAGCACCGAGTCACCCCACCAGGTGGGGTGTGTAGCCATCCCCTTTCCAACAAGTCATTATTTTACCTGTCGGATTGAAAGTTTTCCTGTCCTTGATTAAAGAAAATGAGATTCTCATGGAATGGAATCAAGGGCTCTCTGTTTCTATAATCACAGAATCATAGCGTTGGAAGGGACTCCAGCGTCATCTAGTCCAACCCCCTGCACAGTGCAGGAGATTCACAAATACCTCTTTCCCCCCCCCCATCCCCAGTGACCCCGGTTCCAGGCCCAGAAGATGAAAAAAACCCTTCCAGGATCCCTGGCCAAACCAGCTTGGAGAAACATTGCTTCCTGACCCCAGCGTGGCGATCAGCATTTCCCTGGGCGTGTCAGGAAGGGCCACGAGAACTAAGCAATGATCCAGCCCTCCCTGCCCTCCTTCTCATGAGCTGCCTAAGTTCATAGAAATCAGCGTTGCCGTCAGATGGCCATCTCGCCTCTGTTTGAAAACCTCCAAAGAAGGGGAGCCCACCCACATCCTGAGGAAGCCTGTTCTTACTTTGAACATAAGAAAATAGCCCTTTTTTGTCATTTTTAGCATCTCTCACTAGCCTAAGCTCATACTGAGCTTTGGCTTTCCTAACTGTTCTTTCAGAGTGTGCAGCTAGTTCCTCATTGAATATTTGTTTCTTAATTGACACGAACAGTTTTCATTCTCTTACAATAAAGTGGCAAAGTGTTGGGAACATTTCTACTTCTAATGCAAAGTTGCTCATTAGCTCATGCCTGACTTTATCCCTTCTGTGTTCTTCTTTACGACCCTCTTTCTCTCTCCCCCTTTCTTTAGCGCCCTCTGTGGGTGGCACCCATGACCCCTTTACTCCCAAAGAAATGCCTTGGCTGACGTGAGGGAGGCCTCAGAGTTCAAACTGAGCAGAAGCTGCATCGTGATCCCAGACAGCTTTTAAACAAGGCATCTGTCACTGCTGAGCTATCTTTGACTGGCTGCTAATTGGATAGCCTTAACGTTCATTTCAGTCGCTCGGCCAGTGAACACTGATTAGCTTGGCCTACAGCCACTGTTAAGCCATGCCTGGTTTGCTTTGCACCTGGCCAGGAATCAGCAAAAGAGACATCCATGGTAGTACGTCTGCTCCCACTCCTGTTTGCTGCCTTTCTGTATCATAAACCTTTACTCGGTAGGGCGGGATTTTCTTTTTTTGTGCCTCAGGAGGTGGGAGAAAATTAAACTAGGTGCCATCTGGACTAGAAAACTGTAGGGCAGCAACCCTCTCCCCTTTATCCAACTGAGGCTTTCGGCATTTATGTCAGATGAGTTTTGTGTCCCTTGAACCAGCTGCCATCTTTGTCTCACTTCCTGAAAGAAGAAGGTCCTCGTGGACCTATGCTTTCAATACATTCATTAAATGTATTTATAATGTAAAGAGGGGCTAGGACACAAATAGAACAGGCTGATAGGCTTAGCATATTTGGATTGCTTTTCTGGTAGCTGATAGTTACCTAGTGTCCGCTTCTCCCTAAGAGTAGCCAATGAGAGCAGACAGCGGTGGCTCAGTGGTAGATCCTCTGTGTTTCAGATGCAGAAGGTCCCAGGTTCAATCCCCGGCATCTCCGGTTAAAAGGAACAAGCAGTCGGTGATGTGAAAGACCTCCCTCCGCCTGAGATCTTGGAGAGCTGTTGCCGGTCTGAGTAGACAATACTGACACTGATGGACCCATGGTCTAATTCAGTATAAGGCAGCTTCATGTGTGATGTCTGTGATGGAATGTTGAGGGGGGGGGAGAGCAGTGGAAAACGACAGTTGGGAGTTAGTAGCAGAGAAGTTGACAGCATAGGAGATGAGGTGAAAAGGGGTTTTCTATCTGAATGGAACTGTGTAGAAGAGCTGCTTAGAGGAGGCTGAAAATAGTAAATCTGTGACAAAAGGATCCCAGTTTGGGGAATAGGACCTCAGTTCAAAAGTTCAATGGAAGTGAAACGTTACTTTCCTTAGTGTTTTGTTCTTTATCATAAATAAAAGTTTCTTGTTTTGATTAACCCTATGGACTGTGTGTCTAAAGGGGAAGAAGCACACACACACAATTTAGTGTCTCGGTCCGCACACATACCTTATAGGATATAAATTACTGGTGGCAGCGAGTGACTGGAACAGTGTTTGAGCTCCAGCACCAATAGCTCTGTGGGAGTGAGGGCTAATTATTAAAGGGGGCTGGGCTACCCTTTCTGTGGATTTCCCTGGAAGTGAGAGAGACTGTGTGAGATGGTCATGACTCTCTGTAGATTTCAAAAGAGACAAGCAGGGTGGTGAATGTGATGTCCTGACCTACTTATAACCCATAACTGGAATAAGAGAGGTTGTAGAGGGTGGTAGGCACCCTGTGTGAGTGGAAAAGGGACGTCACACCCAAGTTGTCAGGTGTGGGTGGCCTTTCGCTCATCCAGGCCAGATGGAGGTTGGGATGCAGCAGAAGAAGAAGAGAAGAGATTGGATTTATACCCCGCCCTTCACTACCCAAAGGTGTCTCAGAGTGGCTTCCAAACTCCTTTCCCGTCCCCTCCCCACAACAGACACCTGGTGAGGTAGGCGGGGCTGAGAGAGCTCTTGACAGAAACTGCTCTTTTTCAAGAAGAGCCCTGACAGAACTATGGCTTGCCCGAGGTCACCCATCAGGTGCAAGTGGAGGAGTGGGGAATCAAAACCGGTTCTCCCAGATTAGAGTCCGCGCACTTAACCACTACACCAAACTGGCTCAGAGCAGGTAAAAAGATGCTGCTCTGTTGATTTAGTGAAGGACAGAAGGTCTGGTTCCTAATATTTATATAGTGTCTGATCACCATAGAGGGGCTCAGATGGACTTCCAGTTGCCGCATATGGCTCTTTTCTCTAGTTGAGGAGAGCTTTGAGCCAAGAGTGCTGACACAGCCCACAGCCTTGGATCATTTCTTTGATTCGAGCCATAAGGTCATCGGTGCAGGTTCACTCAGCTATCTTAAAGGGTACCTCTGGCCTCCCTGCATAATGCCTACGCATAGGAACCAGGGAGAGCCTAGTTAGGATGGGTGACATTAAGTGTTAAAACAAAAAAACCCCCTTTTTCTTATTCATCCAACGTTCTACAGAAAGGAGAAAATAGAATTCGTACATCAAGGCTGCACAAGGAGGAAAAGATAAAGCGGCTGTGAGGAAATGGCTTTTAAAAAGTCTGCAGAGGCCCAGTTCAGCTTTGGGTTTGGGGAATGACAGGAATTCCGAGAGGCTCTTGCTTCCCCTCCGTGCAGTTTTCCCGAGCCGAAATGCCTGGGGAGGGGGTAGTTATTTGCCCCATTTTGGAGCTGCACACGTTCCAGCTCCATACCTGATGAATTTGGTGATTCCATCCCATCGAAGGGCCTTCTCTATGGCTCATTGTGATATTTTCTCTTCTGAGGTAGTAATAGGTCGCTACGAGAAGATACCCCTGGCTGGGCGTATTTGTCCTTGTGGTATTGGAGAGGCTGATACGATCAATCATATTTTGCTTGCATGTGGGTTCTATCAAAATATACTCAGGGCTCTTTTTGTAGAAAAAGCCCAGCAGGAACTCATTAGCATAATAGGCCACATCCAACAGCAGAAACCCATTAGCCTATTAGGCCACACCCCTGACATCACAGCTCATTGGCATATTAGGCCACACCCCCATGTTGCCACACCCACCTTTTGCTTCTTATTCTGTTTACTTTGTTTGTTGTCAAAACCCTGGGCTTTTTTTGTAGCAGGAACGTCTTTGCATGTTAGGCCACACACCCCTAATGTAGCCAATTCTAATGAGCTTCTGCTGTTAGGTGTGGCCTATTATGCTAATGAGTTCCTTCCTGCTGGGCGTGGCCACCTCAGGAGCCAGCCGGAACTCCGTTCCTGTGTGTTCCTGCCCAAAAATAGCCCTGCAAGCTATATATATTCAACCCATACGGGAAAGGCTTTTAGGGCGTCCGGACTCTGATATTAATATTACACTTATGATAGATGCAAATCCACAGGTAACATTAGCATGCGCCAAATTTATGGCTGCAGCTTATAGAATTGGGAAAGATTCCTTAAATGTGTAACTTAAAGACTCCCAGGCTAATGTAGTGTATTATTTTGAATTATTTGAGCTAGATGTATGTATGCTTGGAATATGCTATGGTTGGACTGTTTGTGCTGGTTACGAGCCGTAATAAAGATTTCTGTTCTGTTCTGGAGCTGCACATGCAGTTTTCCATGGATGTGCAGCACCAAAAGCGGCAAATAACTTCTCTCCCCTGGGCTATTTGGAAAATAGTGTTGCATACTTCCCTCCATTGTGAGAACCGCTTATTCCTGTCCTCAACTTTCTCTTCTTCAGCCACGAGAGAATCTTCCCTCTTGTCTCGTGACTGCTAAATTTACTTCAGGAAAAGACTTTTTGAATTCTAAGTACACAGTGTTGTTTGGATCATCCTTATGTATGTTTTTGTTGACATGGGTTATTGAGGCATTTTCTTTACAATGCCGTGCTGATTCGTGTTCTTCTATATGTTTAATAATTCTTTCTTTAATAATGCTACTCACTGATTTCCCCAAAACAAATATTGGCCTAGTTGTTGTTGTTCAGTCGCACAGTCGAGTCCGACTCTTCGCGACCCC